CAAATTCGAATCTTCACAACAAACCTTGGTGTGAGCCCATCTTCTGCAGTTTTTGTGGGCAAGTTTACCAAATGGGCCTAGGCTGGTTCTAACACTATACTCCCCCCCCTCCCCCCCCCAATTGGTCCATTAAACATTGAGGTCCACTTGTAGTGCTGTTATTCTTGGTAGGTGAACATACATTCACTCATAATGGTGCACAAAATTTCACTATGCTGAACTTGACTCATCTCAAAAAAGTAAACATGCTTGACAACGTATTCAATTTTAATTCTGATGTGATATTTCCAACTTAACCAACAAGTGAGATCCATCTCTAATGATTCACACCTTATGTATGCATCAGTGAATGCAAAACGTTGTCGTCCTAGGAACTTTTAAGCATTTGCATTATGTGGTTTGGTGATTGCATCATTCCCTCAAGCTTAAAGTTCATAAAACCAGAGTATACAAAAATTACAGGAAGTGACGTTCTTACTTGCAGTATCAAGTGCTTACTTTAGGTTTTGTAATTCATCAAGTTTGTCTAGATTATGGGAATTTGGTTTTGAGTGATTGTTGAGGGAGGGAAACAAGAATCGGATAGGGTGTGTATTTTCTTCATCGAAGGAGTACTAAAGGTGAATTAGATTCTCTACTTATTTGTTCCTCTTACCAAACTCCTATTGTGGCACCCTTTTTGTTGTTAACCAGGTGGATTTTATCTTGCCCTTCATGTATGTTATTCTGTTTCCTGTTCTGCTATAATTGGTGTTGTAATTGCTATTACTTCCTTTACTCTTATAGGCAACAGCTACCGGGATATTCTGCACCACAACAAGAAACCCTTCTATCTCAAAGGTCTAGAAGAAGATTCAAGTACCATGGATGCTTATGTTATGCATTCTGTAAGAGCATCTCATTAGCTTCTTTTCACCATAATTTACTTGTTCAAGTATTAGTGATGTGTTTTATAATCCAAATTGCAAACATGTCTTGGTTATTTGAGGAAATTGTTTTATGCAGCTCAATCATATCTTCAGAACCAGGGATCTTGTAAAGAAGAACGAGGCAAAACTAGCTAAGCTTCAGGACAATGTGAAGGCGGATATCCTAAGTAATGAAGCCTTTCTTGACCGCGGGTTTACTCGCCCTAAGGTATTTACCTATTTTCATTCCTATTCTTCTGAATATGAATTTGTGAGAAATATACACTTGTTATCTATGTTACATGGATTTTTCATTTGCCTTGGTGTACCCGTCGATCGGGTGATAAGGAATGTGACTACTTTTGTGCTGATTCTACAAAATACACTAGAAGTTAGCAAAAACCTTTGCGTACTTGCACTGGATATTTCCCAACACCAGTAGCGGATATCAAGCTTTGTATGTTTTATTAGAGGTGCATCCTTGTCTTGTTTACAATTTATAGATATTGTTGAGGGCTTTGATGTGTAAAATTGAGGATATTCTTAGAAGACGATTTGTATATGTTAGTGGGAAATTGTGTGATTTCGGTAAAAAGAGAACATCCCGTCCTACTCTTGATACATGCACTTTGCTGGCATAACCTTGTGTATTGTCTGTGAGTTAATACTCTTAAAAGTTATACCCATAGTTAGTAGTTATGGTGGAGCTGGATTATTGCAGAGGAGACTACTTGATGTACAACTATAACTATCCAATCCTCCGTTCAAAGAGACTCTTAAACTTATTCCATCCTGACCCACATTTATGCATATCACTCCTGATAGTTGGGTTAGCCTTTAAGAGGTTAAATCACAACATTGCCCATCTCCAAAGAATCAGAAATACTAGATAGCCTAGCAATTTCTCTTTCCAACTTGACAATTTCTTTTTTTGGTATGGATCTGTTAAT